AAAAAGTCCCAAAAGGATAAATATGCAAATAAAATGGCTAAAATAGAAGTATAAATATTGATAAAACGCAACGATAGCCTAGGATAACAATAGAATAGGAATGAAATAAACTTACAAAATAAAGATAGCAGGATAGAATTGTACAGGTTAGTCTTTATAGGAACGAAACTATTAGCTTGTCACGTATGCCAGCCAGAGACATATTAGGTGATAACACTGAGTAAGATAAAACCACATCCAAACAAATATTTACTTACCCACTTGAAATTTAGGTTAATTGATAAGCCAAATTGATAACAATTAAAAATTTCAAATAACTACTATAACGAGTTAAGATTTTGGAATCTGCACAATCGATAGAAACAATAGATGTGCAAACGAATGCCTGCATTAAAAAACAAAGTTATAAGGGAATAGAAAAAATGCATCACGTATAGAGATCCTGTATATAGACAAGATTAAATCGAACATACGAATCAATTAGCAATAACTAAAATATCGAATCAAAACAATAATATATCTTACACCGCAACATTTTATGTAGTAGAACCACAAAAGTAACATATGCATATTATAATACCTCACTAGACTGCAAAACTAAGTGGTGTGGTTGGAGGCGACGCATAAGACCAGATCCATGAAAATAGTTGCACACTCGAAGGTCTCTTTGACGAGTCCATTGATCAGGTGACCTAGTTACTACGCCTGATGACTTTGGCAACCGAACAATGGTAACTTCCGTAGGCAGATCAGCACGGAGAAAGGAAGAAAGAAAACCATCTTCGATTACAAGAACGGTATCAACCTAGTCCAAAATAAAGTAACCAAAAATAATTATAAACAACATTTAGTAAAATATTGTTCATTCAAATTAAAATCATATTTAATATTAACGACTCCTAGATCAGCAATATAAAAAATTGATATCAAGAAGCTAGCCTTATGTTACATCTATTACATAGCTGACATAAAAACGTGATTTCAATTACCGCTTGCAATTGTAATAAATAAAACATAAAGGTCGACATGACGAAGATGAGTAAGGGCAAAAATACGGATGAGAATCGAGCATAGATTTTGGTAAATGCAAATATGAGGAGCTAGTTGGGTTTATCGAGCAACAAACTGAAACTCCAAGGCGTAAAGTAACGACAATCGATACAATTATATGAAAAAATAGACGAACATGAAAGGGAAACAGGACTATTAAACACAAATATCGCAGGACAGTCGACACCAATACTAAGAATAGCTGGAAACTGTTTAGTTAGCTTGGAAAATATATATTGATGCACGCGTATGCGTATGTACTTATGTACTTTCAAATGTGTAAATGGAGAAAACAATACCTCAAAAGCTGCTGCAGTTGTTCTGATAGCCTGTGTACCTTTCTGTTCAGATTCGCCATCATCCGAATCATTTTTACGTATACCACACATATTAATCACACATCCACTGTTAAAAATCACCATATCATTTTCCGATCGAATGTTAACCAGTTCGGCTAATTGGGTTATCTACGGAGATGTATATGATAAGGCTCGAGAAGGAGCTACCTGTTCCCGAAACAAATTCAAATTTCTCGCCGGATCCACATACCCAAAACTAAATACAAGAGGATCCTCCTCCAGATCCCAGCCATCGAGCAAATCGTAGGGTTTTGTAACAGCAAGAGCGGAAATCGTAGTTGGTATACACACCTTGAGATGATAATTAAATATTATACTAACTTGACTCAATCCCACGTTAGCATCAACAAGTACGGGCTTATGTCCTCTTCGTGCAGCATAATTAACCAAAGTCCGGCAAAGAGTTGATTTTCCAACACTTTCTTGACCACAAATCAAAACTCTAGGACCCCTAGACTGCTCCTTAATAGCTTGTTCGCGGGACTTCTCTAGATTCGCATGTATATTCATGTAAACATGAACAATTTCCTGATCTTCTGATGCAGTTGTAAGAAATGTTGCAATTCCGCGTCCTTTAACGCTTATCTTGCAGCCATGAAATGTTACCACTGTTCCCCGTTCACCGGCATGTAATGGAAGCTCGCAACCTATTACTAATTCAGTCCCAAAAATTTCGGCCCTTCCACCTGTTAAGATAATACTAGACAGTGAAGAAACTTCATAACGAAGCATTTGGTATTGTGAGAGAGCAAAGTCCTTGGTCTCTGACTTAGCACTTGAGAGATGGTTTGGGTCCTCATCCATATTTTTAAAAAAGTGCCAGCCATAAATCGGATAAAGCCATCAGGAAAAACTGCGATCCAGATTGACTTGTGTTTAATTGTCAAAACTCAATTATTTGACTCTGCATAGTTATATTATGCTATAAAATTTTTTACGATTATAAAGTGAATTAAACTGGCATTTTCTGAATGCACATCAAATGGTGCGACGGGAAAACTTAATTTATTTTTATCAAATTCGTGTCTGAGAACCAAGTACCATAAGCCATCAAATTCGATTTTGATTATTATGTGATTCCCTAAACAGATAAATAATTTATGAGTACATTGAACTATGCTATTCTGAAACTCGTTATCTCTATTTAAATGTCTAAGAAATGATACGAATACCAACCTGGAGTTATGAATATCAAAGTGATTTAGTTGAAAGCCACGAAATAGTAAAAAATTAATTATCTTAAATTAAGAAATTAAATGAGGGTATTTATCATGTAAAATAATCCACTTTGAATCATGGGCTGTAAGAGTCAACATGTTTATGGCCTATGAGGAATAACGTACAAACATTCTGAGCTTATTCGGGGTATAGTATCAGCCTCCTTTCGTTGTATATAAGTTTTTTGAACTTATTTTTGCAATTAGTTTTATTGGCAGGAAGATCTAGAGGAACGCACTCTATCCGAAGTCGATAGTATGCATGATAATTTCCAGTCGGACCATGGACTTGGCACATTACCAGACGTTTCACTGTAATGTGAATGGAAATAAAGAATTATTCTTGATTTTCAAGTGATTATTGTCTTAAGTGTATCGTTTGAGCAAATGAATTCAAACTTCCTAAGAGGTATCTGCCCTTTATACTTTACCTCCATATTTTACTATTTGTTTTAGTCAAACTAGTTCCTAAAAGGGACAAGTCTCTTTCACAAGCTGTACTGGGGTGCTGAGAATAGCAAGGCTCACTGAGGATGCCGATTACAATGCTAGCGAAGCATCTGGTAATGTACCAAGTACACGGTACGACTCTGGAAATTATCATGTATAATATGGGCTCCAGACAAGGTTAGTTCATTTAGGTCTTCTTGCCAATATGACCAAGCTGCGAAGACAATGTCAAACAACTTCTATTCTAAGCTTGAATCGAGTAGGAGTAAGTAGCACAGTTTCTTTCATCAAAATTAATAAGAGCTTTTTAATTGAGTATTTTAACTTAGCAATTGAATGTAATCAATTTGAGCACATTTTGTGAGTTGATAAAAATGTACTAAAATGGGTTTGCATTTGAGAAGGAAATTGATCTGCATTCCAATTAAAAATAACTACTAGTGTTGACCTGATCTAACGCCTGCTCTGTGTGATACGGTCTTTATTAAGGTTTTAATGGCTTTATAAGCGATACTGATATTAATCTTAGAGAGACGGATGGATTTTAGAGCTATTATATTTTAGAGCTATCATATAAATAAGTTATTTTCTAGGTGCATTGACAATAATAAATTTACATTTAGTTTAATATAATGCATAAAGGTTCAAAGTAACTTAGGCAAAATGGAGGCTACGCCGAATAAGGGAATGCTAAACTTCAATATTAGCCTAGTAAATGAAGAAGACGGAAGACTAGGAAAATGAGATCAAATAAAAAATAGATCCGTATAAACCTAGCTGCATAGTAAAGAATGAAACTGAATAAAGTTTATTTACTGTGCAGACTAGTCGGTATTTATCTCACTCTGTTGGGAACGCAGAAGATTATCATTAAGGAGTGATGATATGCCATCTATAAAAAAGGAGTCGATACTGTGAGAACAAAGGCTTTTTGGGTTACATTTGCTTCAACTTGTTGGAGGAAGGCTCGTTGACCGATTAGATATCTCATGACTTAATTGCAGATCTCTTAAGTTATTTACTATTGCATATACGAAGCAAGCTTATAAATTATTGAATGATGTGATTGAAAAGATACTTGCTATGATAAAAAACGGATAAGTATTCAAAGATATTAAGACGAACTAGGTTTAGAAGAATTACTTAGTGATTTAGTTTTACATAGTTTTCCATTGAAAAAGAATAGTTAATTGTCGGTAAATAAAAAAGTAAGATGTCCTTGGCTCACCGTTCTTCGATGAACCTGTGCTAAATTCTCTTCTGTCATGTGACAAATATTGTCAAAACAGGAAAGCATACTTTACGAAAAACGCGGTCATACGTTTGATGCTTTAGGCATGGAAACATCTACCTCTGAATCCACCACTTTTTCATTTTCCGACCTCCTCTTTCTACACGAATGTGTTGGGCATGAAATAGTCAACCAACTCTTGGGAGGCCTCATTAAGATTGAAAAGGTAGGTCTAAGAAGTAAGTACAATTGCATAGAACCAGTATTATTTCCTTGGCTTAGTGTTCGTTTTTTCGTACAGTATGATTTATCGTTCCAACTATATCAATAACATGGCAAACAAAGGTTTAGCTCAAGTTTATCGAGGCCGCAGGACGATAAAACGAGGACTTTTTCACACAATCCAATTGTGTTCATT